ACATTTCATATCAGTTAAAGAAGTTCAAAGGATTCTCATAATGAATCATACTCCAAGGGAGGGGCAAGGTGATCAAGAAGAGATGCAACAGCCACCTCATTTGGATGCAGGTTGCTCTCCTCTAGCCTCTTTGTGAAGACCTTCAAGGGATATGCCATTTAATACTTTAAGAGGATCAATTACATTTCCCAGAGACTTTGACATCTTACGGCCATGCGCATCACGTATCATAGGGTGCAAATAAACCTCCATAACATTAAATTCATTGACAGATAAGAAATCTATAGAAAACCTTGCAAGTAAACAACCAACAATGACAAGGTTTACATAGAGTGTAGGAAAAATATTCCCACCTTTGTAAAGGGCAGATCACCTCCCAGTTTAATTCCTAACATAACCATTCTAGCCACCTAGAAGAAGAGAATGTCATGTCCAGTTTCAAGGACTGATGTTGGGTAGAAGGTCTCTAAATCGTTGGTATCATCAGGCCATCCCAGGATAGATAAAGGAAAAAGGCCAGAAGAAAACCAGGTGTCTAGTACATCTGGATCTTGAAAATTTTCATATTTTTTCCCAGAAAATCTTTGGTTTGCTTCTTGTTGGAGAAATAGGGTGTTAGAAAATAGATCATTGGTTTCAAGGCGTGCTACACATGCCACTTTCTTTTAGGCTAATTTCGTCCTCATCAGATCTGGTATGCAAAAGGCATAACCTGAAATGCTCATAGGATACAATGAAGCGTCTTGTTGATCTAGACTTTGCACTAGTAAGATCAACCACCGAACCATCCTTTGGAAAGCGACAAAACAATAGTTTTTGTATAGGGATTTTTCGAGCAATCGCAATACAAAAAGGAACTGTTTTATTTAAATATTTTTGAGTTCAAAAAGACTCCTTTAAGTAGAAGAAATAACTCCATATTTATAGGGCAAAATGTCTGTTGGGACAGACACTTCTTTTCAAGATGTCTGTTGGAAACAGATACTTCTTTTCAATTTTTTATCCATTGGAAACTCTTCCAAAAGTCATTTAGTTTGATTTGAATTCCAACTGACATATTTCCTTGTCTTCTAAAGTTATCCACTCTCTTCAAAAACTTATCAGAATTCTATCTCTAATTTCTGACGTAAATGGTTCAAACCACATTTATATGATTCGAACCAAAATCGTAACTTTTCGGATTCTGGTTTTACGTAAATGGTTCGAACCATAATTATATGGTTCGAACTAAAATTACACTTTCTCAAATGTATTATGTGCAATTACTTCGAACTAACTTTTTGTGATTTGAACCTAAATCTTGGAAATATTTTAAAAATTCTTCAACATTCCCCCACCATTTTCAAAATAGAACAGCTCACCAATTGTTTTGGAAATCTTATGCATACATGAAGGTATCTTATGATTTGAACCTTTCACTTAGTGAACCTGTGTTGGCAAATTAGTCAGAATTGCATGGTAGACTAATGTTTTGAACTAGCGATTCTAAATGACTAATTGGGCACATGTCACACACAAGACTTCTAGCTTTCCAAAGAAAAAATTCAACATCCGTCGACACAAAAATTGGCCGTGTGTCTTATATCCTTTTCATGAGTGTTGTTAGAGTCAAGTCCCTAACTCCTAGAAGCAGCACCACTTCCACTCATATAGGTAGATCCCATCAAAAGTGCCACCACATTAAGCACTCCAACAGAAATCTGTTATAGGACCTATTAAGAGTAAAACTCATCCTCTTTTTGTTTCATGTGGTTACCAAGTACTCTTCACTTGGGATGGTATTATTGATAAATTGAGTACTTGCAATCACATTCATATGATGTACTTTACTCATTGCACTCAAGACTTGAAGTTTTTATCGAGCGTTAAGTCGAGGTTCCATCATGTGTGACTTTTGTCAATATGGACTTGAGACCCATCCCTCTCTTTGTCTTGTGAATTTTCCTTTGATAATCCTTTTAATCAAGGATTCATAAAATTAACACAAGACCTTGCAATGATTATGGTGATCACCTCATTTAAGAATTAATTATTTTCATGTCTACATTTTATGATAACAAGTCTACTATCATATAGACTTCTTTGTAAGTACTTGATGACATCCTATTATTTTTAGTCATCATACACATTCATATAAGAATGTCTTAGAAAAATCTGAACTCTTGAAAAGTGTCGACATCTCCAAGAACAAGTGCTATCACTTTTAAACAGTGCCATATAACTTTGTAGTATCATGAACAAGTGGAATTCTTGCTTCCTTCACTTCAAATTAAATTTTATTTGCTTTTCATGTGTCAAGGACTTTTAGTCCTTATTCCTCACTTTTGGAATTGTTCCCACTATTTTAAATGACATCAATATTTCTCATGAAAGACATATCAAGATAAATTTTGATTTATCAAAAATGGTTCAATTCATATAAATACGGTTCAAACCAAGTTCTTGATACTTTTTGAGTTTCCTGTGTAATTGGTTCGAATCAACTTTAATTAAGTGATTTGAACCAAAATTCTGGAACAACTCAAATCATTAGATTCATTTTCCATGACCAAGAGCTATTCACTCTTGCTGTTTATATGATTCTTTAAATCCATATTTCTTTATCTTTTGGACCATTTTTTAGACTTCCAAAAATCAATCAAGTGCACAAGGTTGCACTAGTTTCTACAAATTATCTCATTAAGAGATAACATCTAAACAAGGATTCAAAATCCTTCATGCCTTATCAAAACTGAGAGCCTTTTTACTTGGCCTCTCTTCTCTTAGTTTATACTAAGACCATTAGTTGGATCTCCAAATGGGTTTGCCAAATCCCATTTCAGTATTTCTTTCTTTAACATGGCAAAGTAGCCATCATGAGACTTGATTCTCACTTGTTTCAAATTTACATATACTGATATATAACCTTACAAGCATAAATAAGAGGCATCAAAAGTAACAAGTAGACATATGCTTTAAGCAACCTTTCATTAATGAAACATGATCAGATTTAGCCTCTTATATTTCCACAAGCCTCATATTAAAAACAGTAAGCATGTTTAACACATATACAAAACTCAATGATTTTAACTCAAACTGTCATGTACATAAACATGCTTATAACATAATCCAAGTAAAGGAAATCTCATTGACCATAATAAGCCTTAAGCAAACCTTAATGCAATCATGTCCATAAGTAAGATATGCTACTTAAACTCCATAATGCTTCATAAGTATTCACCAAAGAACAGTAAATAATCATTACTAAATAAAAAGAAAAACAGAACTTCATTTGTATCACATTAGTAATCTCAAAATCAAGGCACAATCATGATCTCAAAACATGATCATATTCAAATCCATAAATATCTTCCTTCTCATAGCGAAGAACCATGCTATCAAGTCTAAGATTTATTCAATCTCCAAATGGGATTTAAAGGCCCATTTTATTATTATTATTTTTTGCCTCATTGTGCCAAATGACTTTTAATTATGAATCTTTACACTGTCATTTGCATCTTTGATAACTTCTTTGAATCCATTCTCCAGGAGATGTTTTCTCCTCGTATATAATTAATTAAACATTAACAAGAGAACTATCACCCATGCATGAACAGCCCATGATATAAATGGTGTGTGTGCCAAAACTCAGAAAAATTCATGATTTAAGAAATTATAATATCAATTTCTTATTAATTTCATAATGTATTATTTTATTCTATCATTTTACTGGTTTTCGTACCTGTTTTGATATTACAGTGAATTTCGATTCATTTCTATTTCATATCCTCTCTAGACTTAGAAATTTCAATTGCTTCCTTCATGAACAGAATCATGTCTCCATTGTTTCATCTTTCATGAAAATAAATTTCCTTTGCTTTATTGTGAAACGTCCAGTAACCATCGCCTCATCTATGATTGATCACCATTTTGATGGTTGATGAATCACCATTTTTGCACACAATTTAAAGCGCCAGAAATCCATTTGGTTTTGCCATTGTTGCATGCCATATCTCCTTGGCTTCACATGCGTTTTAACACAAGTTTCTTCTCAATTATCCAATAAGCCATGATCTCAAAAAACTCGGGAATTAGCCTAAAGATTGTTGGAGAAATAGGGGGTTAGAAAATAGATCATTGGCTTCAAGGCATGTTGCAAGTGTCACTTTCTTTTAGGCTAATTTCGCTCCCACCAGATCTGGTATGTAAAAGGGGTAACCCAAAATGCCCATAGGATACAATGAAGTGCCTTGTTGATCTAGCCTTTGCACTAGCAAGATCAACCACCAAACCATCCTTTGGAAAGCGACAAAACAACAGTTTTTATATAGGGATTTCTTGAGCAATCACAATACAAAAAGGGACTATTTTATTTAAATATTTCTGGATTCAAAAAGACTCCTTTAAGTAGAAGAAATAACTCCACATTTATGGGGTAAGATGTCTGTTGGAATAGACACTTCTTTTCAAGATGTTTGTTGGGAATAGACACTTCTTTTCAATTTTTTATCCGTTGAAAACTCTTCCAAAAGTCATTTGGTTTGATTTAAATTCCAACTGACACGTTTCCTTGTATTCCAAAGTTATCCATTCTCTTCAGAAACTTATAGAATTCTATCTCTGATTTCTAACGTAAATGGTTCGAACCACATTTATATGATTCAAACCAAAATCGTAACTTTCTGGATTCTAGTTTTACGTAAATGATTCGAATCATAATTATATGATTTGAACCAAAGTTACACTTTTTCAAATGCATTCAGTGCAATTGCTTCGAACCAACTTTTTGTGGTTCGAAACCAAATCTTGGAAATATTTTGAAAATTCTTCAACACTTTTGGTAAAGCTTCTTTCTCATCTCTAGCAATTATCCAGTTGTCATTATCTGTTCCATGTTCCTTCAATTCATTTCTTCTAGTTTAATGCACCATGCAGGAACCTGGTAACCCCATCATAGCTGCCTTGAGATGCACCAATCACCTGCGTTATCAAGCCATCTGTAATCTCAAGTATTGAAGGCAAATCATTAGTGGAATATAATCAAGAATTATGACCACATATTAAACTATATGACAACAAACTTAAGGTTCATTAATGTTAATGCATTAAGTGAAATACATTATTCATTAGCAGTAATGAAAGCATTACCACCTCTTCCATTCGGCAGTATATTGTCGTGGAATGAACTCCAGCTTCCTATTTTTATCATCCATAGCTGCATCAAGAGCCTGCTTTGCCATCTTACTGCAGTTAATGTACCACTGGGGCTTTGCCATTGGCTCCACAACATCATGGCTTCTTGA